AATATAAAGTATAATAATAATAATAATATTAATAAAATAATAATAATAATAATAATAATTATTATAATAAATAAATACAAAAATTTAAAAAGTCAATAGTGAGAAACGATATATATTTGTTGTGTTGTCAATAGTAAGAGAAACAATTGAGACCCTGCAATTGTGGGTAAATGAGGCAGAAAGTCAGATCAGCAACCTGGGACTTGGTCACAATTTTTGTGATGCCATATGGCTGGGGTGTATTCATGTACTTATCAGGTGTTAAGATGTCTTATGTTATCCTGTGTTACTCGGTGTTATCTGAGGTGTTATCATATAAAAACATTTGACTCAAAGACACACTGACCCATTCTGATGAACCCTTATACACTGTAATGTAGGGTCTGAGGTGACGTCATCTTATGGCACATTACGATAGGCAATTGTTTTTTCTTATCTGTCGGGTTCAGGGTTAAGATAGATAGTTCAAGTGTTTATTGTTAATATTAGTATTTTATTATTATTATTATTATTATTATTATTATTATTATTATTATTATTATTATTATTATTATTATTATTATTATTATTATTGTTATTATTATTGTTATTGTTATTATTGTTATTATTATTATTATTATTTATTTTTTCAATCCGAATCCACAACTGCATCGATTAAGAGGCCATTTTTAACATATTTTGGTATAAATTTGACATTGGTTAGGTTAGGTTATGTCAAGTTACGTTAGGTTAGGTATATATAAGGTCAAGTAGGTTAGGTCAGGCTAGGTTTGATAAGGTTGTTAGGTTAGGTTATAAGTAAGTTCTGTATCAGTCACCTTTTTCTTCCTTTGTAATAGGCCTACCTAAAAACACGTCTTCCAAATGTCATGATCATAGAGAGGATGATCTTTGCACAGCAGCAGTTTTGTGTGGATTCTCTGTTTGTTTTGGCTGCGATGTTGAAATGCCTGTATAAGAGGTGTCCATAGATTGTCTGACCATTTTAAAAATTAATAATGCATCCTCAAAAACATTATAGGTAGAACACGCAGGGTTTATTGTACTTGACGAACAAATAAGTTTTTTTTCTTCTTGTTTTAGTGCATCGTGTTCTGTCTAAATTATTTTTGAGGATATTAGTTTTAAAATGGGTTAGATAATTTATGGATGCCCTGTATAGCTATTTAAAATCTGGTTGTTCTTTTATGTTGACAATATCGCGTCGTCCAGCACAAAGGAACATTAATAAACAGACTACATGCATAACTTTATTCATAGAATTACACTTCTTTGGTATATAACATGCAGTATTTATTATGAAAAAAAGATCGTTGTTCTAGTACATTATTCACAATCCTGAGTATTACAACGTTTATGCGTAAGTCCGGAGCGAGCGCGGCCGCCTCACCCCCTCCTCCCTGCTCCTCCTGTCAGCCAAGTAGTACCGTATTTACATCTCAAAAATTCACTTGTTTATCCTCCAAGTTTTCTCCTCAATATTCTACGACTTAGAGGTGAAGTTAAGGTGGGAGAAATTACAGTAACCTAATGTTTTACCTTTTTTTATTTACAAGAATGTTGGCAAGCCTGAACGTCAGACTGGCATCGCTCGCCTCTGATTGGCCGGGGAGCTCAGAGAATGAGCCAATAACGTGAGTGCGTTGTGTTGACAAGCTCGCCGTTCCTTCCCCCGCCGCCAGGACGGGATCTGACAATATTGATTTTCTGTTCCATCTGTCACGTGGGCTGGGCTTTGATATGCACTGCGTCTGTGGGTTAGGCGACACCTAATGTTGCAACTACATGTGAACCAAAGTAAAGGTGCGACTGTGTGTGCATGTGTGTATTTGTGTGTGAGTGAGAGGAACTACGTTATGCTTGAAGCGCTGGGATCACTGATGGCAATTGTCTCTACACAACAGCTGACCCATCATTATTGAGCTGTGGCGGACCATTTGACGCGCGGACGATATCCCACAAAGACTTTTACCCCACTGGACAATATCTCGCTACTATGATGACAAAAGTGGATATTACCTCCACCAATTTATGCTTCTTTGAGTTAGATTAGGCTAAGTTAGATTATATTTTAAGAATGTGTTGGGGTTGAGTTGGATTAAATTATGTTACGTTAAGGTGTGTTAGGTTAGGTTTTGTTACGTTATGGTGTGTTGGGTTAGGTTAGGTTACGTTAAGGTGTGTTGGGTTAGGTTAGATTGTGTTAGCTTATGTTACGTGAGGTTAGATTATGTTTTATGTTACTTAAGGTTAGATTGTGTTAGATTAGGTTGGAAGAGATTGGATTAGTTATCTTAAATTTAGTACAAATTAAGTGGTCATATTTGACTACAGAAAATACAGGTACGGCTTAAGGTCCTACAGAGTTGGCGATGTGATATTGGTAGGGGAGATTGTGGTAGTTTTAAAGAGTGATAGTGGTTGTTGATACTGACTGGTTTTGCAGTGGTAGTGCTTGACGTGTTTTCGTTGGTTCTATCAATGATAATAGTGGTAATAATGATGATGATGATAGTGATAAATATGTTTATGGTGGTAGTAATAGTGGTGATGATAACTGTGGTAGTAATAGTGGTTATGGTAGTAGTAGTAGTACTGGTGATTGTTGTGGTAGCGGTAATGGTGGGATGGGACCAAGTGCAAGATGCGTCTACGCCAGACTCATGGAGGTGCTATCCGAACAGAAGCAGCAGCCCAGAAGTTATACTACAGCCTGGATGAGATGTCGACTGTCCTTCTCTCTCCTTAGGTTGGCTTTGCTCTGCGTCAGGGGAACGAGAGCATCGGCCCCAAAACCGACAACAGTTGCAGATATTGACTACAAGGCAACAGTGATTGAATGCCGCATATTTAATTTTAAGGTAATAAAATGGCGGCGAAGGTGTGGCTATTGGTAGTACTGATGGTGGTGGTTGTGGTAACGGTAGTGGTGATGATAGTAGTTATAGGTGGTGGTTGTAGTAGTAGTAGTACTGATGGTGGTGGTAGTAGTACTGGGGGGTGATTATAGTAATAATGGTAGTGGTGGTTGTAGTAGTGGTAGAAGTTGTCTAACCTTACACTAGTCTAGACTACCGTAGACCAGCCCGTCGACGACTAGGCCAGGTTCTCTAACTCACTCGGCGGGTCTCTTTAACTGGCTCCCTGCAGTCTCCAACACGTGGTTTCTACCGAGAGACCCAAGTTCTGTAAGTGATAGTTTCTAGGGGGATTCCAAGTAGTTATAGATTAGGAAACACCGGCAACGAGGTGGTCTCTCTCTCTCTCTCTCAAGAAAAGTTCCGTTGTATTTAAAGAGGGGGAGGGTGGCCGGGAGGGGGATTGGGTGAGGCAGAGAAGGGGCTGATTGGTTTAGAGAGAACAGGGGATTGGGTGGATTAGTAAGGAAAGCGGCTCACTGAGGTGGAATGAATGATTAGGATAGAGGTGAAACTGATTGGTTAAGGCAGAGGTTGAAACTGATTGGTTAAGGCAGAGGTTGAAACTGATTGGTTAAGGCAGAGGTTGAAAATGATTGGTTAAGGCAGAGGTTAAACCGATTGGTTAGGTCAGAGGTTGAAACTGATTGGTTAAGGCAGAGAGTGAAAGCAATCATGTTTTGTCGGTAGATTGGAGGTGATATGATGATTGGGTAGAGTAAGGGAAGCGGTTGGGTGATTTACAGAAGTAGAAAGGTGATTGGGTATGTAAAGGGGAAGGGAGGGATTCTGGTCACTCTGACAGGGGAGCATTGGGTTAATTAAGGTTGAAGATGGTGATTGGCTAGAGACCTGCACGGGAGGAGCAGCCAATTAAACTTTACGTAAGGGATGACTGATTGGTTTTGGGTAAAAGTGATTGGATTAGTCGAGGAAAGGAAATAATTTTTGGGTATGGGAATAGTGGATTAGCTAAACCTGATTGTTTGAAGTTAACAGTTTTGGCAGGTTAGGTTAGGTGAGGTTAGGTTAGGTTAGGTTAGGTGAGTTTAAGGTGGAGATAAAGGATAGGATTTAGTTTCACTCCTTTAGAAAGTGACTGGTTTTGACGTATTTACCTAATTATAGATGACCTAAGCTTTATTATTATGATAACTTGAGCTGAGAGTGGTATCAATACACGCCTTATTAATAATTATCAGGTAAAAGAAACTCCCAGCCCTTTATTCTCTGTCCTGCTTAAATAGTGACGAGAAAATGCATCTATTATGAGAGTCTCAGTAAAATATCGACGTTATTCTATTCGTGATCTGTGTCGTAGATTAAGTGAACTATTTAGATGCATTTTTACATCATAGAGGCCGTGCAGGAAAATAATTATTATAACTTTAAGAATCTGAGCCTAATGTGGATTTCTCTCAAGGTTAACCGTAATAATTCCGTAAAGTGTGAATGACAGACCTGGGGGGGGTGTAACCCTAAGCTGAGGATATACTAGAGTGGCCAGGTACAGGGCGTCACTTGAACCACAGTTGAGACAAGGTGTTGAGGTTGGAGGTGGTGAGTATTGTTTAAATCGTAAGAAGATTTAATGTCTAAGAGACACCGAAGATCATCCGGTGTCGTGGAGGGTGGTGATGGTGTCGCGGAGGGTGGTGATGGTGTCGTGGAGGGTGGTGATGGTGTCGTGGAGGGTGGTGATGGTGTCGTGGAGGGTGGTGATGGTGTCGTGGAGGGTGGTGATGGTGTCGCGGAGGGTGGTGATGGTGTCGTGGAGGGTGGTGATGGTGTCGCGGAGGGTGATGATGGTGTCGGAGGGTGGTGATGGTCGTGGAGGTGGTGATGGTGTCGCGGAGGGTGATGATGGTGTGGTGGAGGTGGTGATGGTGTCGTGGAGGGTGGTGATGGTCGTGGAGGGTGGTGATGGTGTCGTGGAGGGTGGTGATGGTGTCGGGAGGGTGGTGATGGTGTCGCGGAGGGTGATGATGGTGTCGTGGAGGGTGGTGATGGTGGAGGGTGGTGATGGTGTCGTGGAGGGTGATGATGGTGTCGCGGATGGTGGTGATGGTGTCGCGGATGGTGGTGATGGTGTCGCGGATGGTGGTGATGGTGTCGTGGATGGCGGTGATGGTGGGGTGAAGGGCGGTGTTGACGTTTTGGAGACAACTAGTGTTGCTACTAATGTTTCCAAGACGCAGACTACTAGCTGGGTAGTAGAGGGCATAGGGTAGAAATACCGTTCACTGGATACTAAATATGATCAATTACGTTCGTTGGGAATTCTTGAGAATAAGGTCCTTTGGGGCAGCAGTGCATGACTTAGTGAGGGCTGTCCCAGTCAGCACTCTGGTAGTCAAACTGAACACTATCACGTAGCGTCAGATAGTGTTGGGGCAACGGAATGTGACTTGTTGGCTGTATTAGCACCGGGAGGTCACTGAAAATAAGGTGTTTGTAATAAGAGGATAGCGTCCAGGGGTCTTCGGATCCACAGGTTAATGATAAAGCGTCAGACCACCCTCAGGTAGCGGCGGGTAGTGTCCAGGGGGGCACAAGACAGCCTGGAGTAGCGGGAGTAACATCCTAACGCCCACAATATCAAGAGAGAGCATACAGGTGACGCTGAACACCAGTAGATCCCTCTGACACCTCACGGACAGCGTCAGGACTCCCTTACATAGCACTGGATAGCGTCCATACACTTGGTGTAGCGGGAATATCGCTGAAGTACCCTAGAATGGTGATGGATAGCGTTCACAGGTCCCCAAACACAAAGCGGCAGCAGGGATAGCGTCGAAACACCACCAAGTAGCGGGGACGTGCAGTAGGGAGACGGAGGGCCACAGGACACGTCAACAACAGCCTCAGGAGGTCTGGGAGTGGACGCGCATATGCCGGTTGAGGTTTCCAGACTGACTGAAGCGGAGTAAACAAAGCTTACACTGGTATGGCTTCTCCCCGGAGTGGATCCTCAGGTGCTTGGTAAGGGTGGAGGAGTCGCTGAAGGCCTTCTTGCACATCCGACAGCGGTAGGGTCGCTCGCCGGAGTGTGTGCGCATGTGCGTGGTGACGGAGGACGACTGCGAGAACTTGCGGTCACAGATAGGACAACGGAAAGGCTTCTCCCCGCTGTGAGTCCTGACGTGTGCCGTCAGGTTGGCCGCCTGGCTGAAGGACTTATTGCAGTCGTTGCACCTGTAAGACAAGCGTTTGCAGTGATATTATTTATGTAACTACTTAAGCCATATATGAACCAACGATCATCTGTCACTATTGGTGAAGACATAGAGATCCATAATTCAAGGGTTTAATAAATATATCCTGACATTGACGTTCAGGTATTGTATCTCCTGTGTAATGAAAAAGCAACTGATTTAATCCACAAACACAAAGTGGTACGGAAGTGATTAATCCACAAATAGAAGTGGAACAAGAGTGATTAATATACAAGCACAAATTGGAACAAAAAGCATTAACCTACACCACAAGCAGAAACCATTCGTGTATCATAACAGAATCAAAGTCCTCCACTATGTTCTCACACACGACCCACCTATATGGTTTCTCTCCACTGTGAGTCCTCAGGTGGGTCTTGAGGGTAGAGGGACGGGCGTAGGTCTTGCCACAAATCCTACACAAGTTTGGTTTGAGTCCATCGGTGAGTAAGGGCTTGGAGATATCGAGGGTGTTGCAGGATATGCCCGACATGGTCATCACGCCCCCGACACTGGGTCGTCTTCGTAAGGCGCTCAGCGTAGGTGATAATTGCCCGCCTGAAGGATACCACATGGAGGAGCCAGTGGGGTGAGAACGGTGCTGGTAATTATTATGTAATAAATATATATACAGTAGGAAATAAATTAGAAAACGAATACAGGCCAATATTTTGTTTTTTATTTACCATATATAGCCTCTGGTTCAATTGTCCAAAAGTGTTTTTATGCAAACTAAATCAACGAAATACTTAATAAATTACCAACAAAAATGAACTACCACTCACAGTACCACTCATACAGGCTAGTAAGTGGGGTGTAATGCATAGAAGAATAAGTAACAGATAATACCTTTTTACTGTATAATCTGTGTCAATTTCACTGTCTTCATTATATGATGTGTGGAGGACAATATACCCCCGCGTTCTGTGTAACTGTATAATTATGACCCCTCCACAACTTAACTACAATATTACACTATGAATGAACCGTCGCTGGAGCTATACAAGTGTCCACGATGAATGGTGAGAGCTTGAAACCTTAATAACTCAAAAGTGCTTTGTACATAAGAGAAAGTGAATGTTTTAATTACGACAATAAACCTTTTCAGGATTTTTTTCTTTCACTGGTCTGGGAATGTTTGGGTCTCTCCATGACGGCTGTGTGAGGTGGGAGACATAGACCTATTTATTTTTTATTTTCAATTTTTTTTTACTTCCTCCTTCGCTTGTGAGTATTTTATTTATTTATGGTGGGGAGGGTGTCAAAGACGTTGTATGGTCCTTCAGGGTGATATACAGCATTTACCTTCAGGATTGAGTAGAGAGAGAGAGAGAGAGAGAGAGAGCGAAACACATTGGGGGAGTGTTGTAGTGTGTGGGAGACATTATCAGGGTTACAGACGGCGCCTTGAAGTTTACTTTCCTACAAAAACCTTGAAACATCTTTGCCTGAAAAATATTCCATGTTTTCTTTATATAGTAAGATTTATATTTATTTTTTATATATTTTATTTATTTATTTATTTTTTTACGGGGATTAGCCCATCCGGGCACAGGTCACTGACCCACATCGGGGCGAATATGTAATAATTATTCATAGTAAATAAAATTTATAATAAAAATTAAAATAAAATAATAATAATAATAATAATAATAATAATAATAATAATAATAATAATAATAATAATAATAATAATAATAATAATAATAATAAAGAAATAAAGAAAAAAATAAAATGGTGAGAAACGCTATACTTATGTTGTGTTGTCTAAGTAAGAGAAACAATTGAGACCCTGCAATTGTGTGTAAATGAGGCAGAAAGTCAGATCAACAACCTGGGACTTGGACACAATTTTCGTGATGCCATATGGCAGACATAATGAATAAATAAACATCGAAGTTATCGCCATTCATCGTAGACGCTAACAAGCTCAGAGAAAAGGAGCACCACACTGTATAACACCATCACAGCAACACCACATACTATACATCACCACACACTATACAACACCCACTATACATCACCACACACTATACAGCATCACCACACAACCACATACTATACATCACCACACACTATATAACACCATCACAGCAACACCACATACTATACACCACCACACACTATACAACACCACCACTTACCGTACAACACCACACCACACTATACAGCAACACCACTCACTATACAACACCACCAATCACTATACAACACCACCACTCACTGTACAACACCACACTATACAGCAACACCACTCACTATACAACACCACCACTCACTATACAACACCACTCACTATACAACACCACCACTCACTATACAACACCACCACTCACTGTACAACACCACACTAATCAGCAACACCACTCACTATACAACACCACCAATCACTATACAACACCACCACTCACTATACAACACCACCACTCACTATACAACACCACCACTCACTATACAACACCACCACTCACTATACAACACCACCACGACACTATACAACACCATCAAACGTTATACAATACCTCTACAACAACACCACTTACATTGACTGGTGGGCGTGGTGTTGTGATAAGGGGGTATGCAGGGTGACCCCGGTCGTGGGCGGATGGGCGGCGAGCGGAGACACAGGTCACGGTCGAAGCTTGGCATGGTGTGGTGGTCAGGTCGCAGGTCACCACTCCAAGAATATGACCCCACTCCATAACCCTGGCTACATGACCCGCTGACGGAGAGGGAGAGAGAGGGGGGTTGAGTGGGCAGTAATGTTATTGTGATACTAATGTGAATAACATGTTAATACTTTTAATGAGGATATATGTGTTATTGATCCACATGTTACATCGGTACCTCCAACACACACATATGACCGACCCATCAGTACCTCCAACACACACATATGACCGACCCATCAGTACCTCCAACACACACATATGACCGACCCATCAGTACCTCCAACACACATATGACCGACCCATCAGTACCTCCAACACACATATGACCGACCCATCAGTACCTCCAACACATATATGACCGACCCATCAGTACCTCCAACACACATATGACCGACCCATCAGTACCTCCAACACACACATATGACCGACCCATCAGTACCTCAACACACACATATGACCGACCATCAGTGCCTCCAACACACACACATGACCGACCCATCAGTACCTCCAACACATATATGACCGACCCATCGTACCTCCAACACATATATGACCGACCCATCAGTACCTCCAACACACACATAGACCGACCCATCAGTACCTCCAACACATGACCGACCCATCGGTACCTCCAACACATATATGACCGACCCATCAGTGCCTCCAACACACACATATGACCGACCCATCAGTACCTCCAACACATATATGACCGACCCATCAGTACCTCCAACACATATATGACCGGCCATCAGTACCTCCAACACACACATATGACTGACCCATCAGTACCTCCAACACACACATATGACCGACCCATCAGTACCTCCAACACACACATGACCGACCCATCAGTACCTCAACACATATATGACCGACCCATCAGTGCCTCCAACACACATATGACCGACCCATCAGTACCTCCAACACACACATGACCGACCCATCAGTACCTCCAACACACACATGACCGACCCATCAGTACCTCCAACACATATATGACCGACCCATCAGTGCCTCCAACACACACATATGACCGACCCATCAGTACCTCCAACACACACACATGACCGACCATCAGTACCTCCAACACATATATGACCGACCCATCAGTACCTCCAACACACACATATGACCGACTCATCAGTACCTCCAACACATATATGACCGACCCATCAGTGCCTCCAACACACACATATGACCAAACCCATCAGTACCTCCAACACACATATGACCGACCCATCAGTACCTCCAACACATATGATGACCATCAGTACCTCCAACACACACATGACCGACCCATCAGTACCTCCAACACACACATATGACCGACCCATCAGTACCTCCAACACATAGACCGACCCATCAGTACTCCAACACACATATGACCGACCATCAGTACCTCCCCACACACATATGGACGACCCATCAGTACCTCCAACACACACATATGACCGACCCATCAGTACCTAAACATATATGACCGACCATCAGTACCTCCAACACACACATATGACCGACCCATCAGTACCTCCAACACACACATATGACCGACCCATCAGTACCTCCCCACACACATATGACCGACCCATCAGGCCCAACACACACATATGACCGACCCATCAGTACCTCCAACACACATATGACCGACCCATCAGTACCTCCCACACACATATGACCGACCCATCAGTACCTCCAACACACATATGACCGACCCATCAGTACCCAACACATATATGACCACATCAGTACCTCCAACACACACATGACCGACCCATCAGTACCCAACACACACACATGACCGACCCATCAGTACCTCCAACACACACATGACCGACCCATCAGTACTCCAACACACACATATGACCGACCAGTACCTCCAACACACACATGACCGACCCATCAGTACCTCCAACACATATGACCGACCCATCAGTACCTCAACACACACATGACCGACCCATCAGTACCTCCAACACACATAATGACCGACCCATCAGTACCCAACACACACATATGACCGACCCATCAGTACCTCCAACACACACATATGACCGACCCATCAGTACCTCCAACACACATGACCACCCATCAGCACCTCCAACACACACATATGACCGACCCATCAGTGCCTCCAACACACACATATGACCGACCATCAGTACCTCCAACACATATATGACAGGCCCATCAGTACCTCCAACACACACATATGACCGACCCATCAGTACCTCCAACACACATATGACCGACCCATCAGTACCTCCAACACACACATATGACCGACCCATCAGTGCCTCCAACACACACACATGACCGACCCATCAGGCCTCACCACACACATATGACCGACCCATCAGTGCCTCCAACACACACATATGACCAACCCATCAGTACCTAACACATATGACAGGCCCATCAGTACCTAACACACACATATGACCGACCCATCAGTACCTCCAACACACACATATGACCGACCCATCAGTACCTCCAACACACACATATGACCGACCCATCAGTACCTCCAACACACACACATGACCGACCCATCAGTACCTCCAACACACACATGACCTTTCCTGTATAGCTTCCACAATGGTAGCGGCTGTGATGACATTTGTATTATTGTCGACCAGCGCTGTACACTTCACCTAACCTAACCTAACCTAACCTAACCTAACCTAACCTAACCTACCTAACATGTTACTGCCTCCACCAGGGTCTTTGGCAGTACAAGTATCTCCTGAACACACACACACACATACAGGTGATTGCAGTGATTGCAGGTGTGTGTATATATGTGTTTGTATGTTTGTTCGTGTATGTGTGTGTGTGTGTGTGTTTGTGTGCCTCATGACGTTACTAAGACGGTCATCAGAAGGGCTTCACTGTGTCCTAACTTGGTCTGCCATGCTAATGTTGACAACAGCTTGCAACCCACGTCACTTCTGCCTTGTTGTGTTGCACTAATATAAATGATAATGGCGCTTATCTGTCTTGTTTTGTTTTTAATTATTAATTTATTTGATAATGTATTTAACTTCTCAGTCCTTATTTTGTAATTACGAGAAATAATAATCATCATCATCATCATCATCATCATCATTAAAGCCGTTATTGTCACCATCATCCTTATCAATATCATTATCAGTCAGTATCATTACCACCACCATTACCGTCATCACCACCATCATTATAACTATTAACTTTATCATTAATATCATCATTATCATTATATCTGTTATCATTATCCCCTTCATCATCATCATCATCATCATCATCGCTCTGCTCTAAGACACGGGGAGTGTCTAAGTCATGGGTGGTGGACAGGGGAATACCTCACTCACCTCTAAGTCATGGGTAGTGGACAGGGGAGTACCTCACTCACCTCTAAGTCATGGGTAGTGGACAGGGGAGTACCTCACTCACCTCTAAGTCATGGGTAGTGGACAGGGGGGTACCTCACTCACCTCTAAGTCATGGGTAGTGGACAGGGGGGTACCTCACTCACCTCTAAGTCATGGGTAGTGGACAGGGGGGTACCTCACTCACCTCTAAGTCATGGGTAGTGGACAGGGGGGTACCTCACTCACCTATAGGACATGGGGAGCGGACTGACAAGGCCTGGAGCGGAGTGTTGAGGGTAGCCGACACCGCCCACGGGAGATATGGACGAACCTTGTGGCCCGGAACAGCTGGTTGACCACTGAGGAGAGAGAGAGAATGGGTCAGTTAGTTCATCTTGTGTAGTTCTGGGGCATGTTCGGTGATTTTTAGGTCATTTGGAGCAATTTCGGATCATATTGGGTTGTGTTGGGTTACTATAGGGCACCATGGGTCAATCTAGGGCACCAAGGGTCAATCTAGGGCACTAAGGTCAATCTAGGGCACCAAATTTCAATCTAGGATCAATCTAGGGCACCAAAGGTCAATCTAGGGAACCAATGGTCAATTTAGGGCACTAAGGGTCAGTCTAGGGCAACAAGAACCAATCTAGGGCACCAAGGGTCAATCTAGGGCACTAAGGGTCAATTTAGGGCACCACGGATCAATTAATGGCACTAAGGGTCAATCTAGGGCACTAAGGGTCAATTTAGGGCACCAAGGGTCAATCTTAGGCACCAAAGGTCAATCTAGAGCACTAAGGGTTAATCTAAGGCACTCAGGGTCAAACTAGGGCACCAAGGGTCAATCTTGGGCACCAAAGGTCAATCTAGGGCACCAAGGGTCAATCTAGGGCACCATGAGTCAATCTAGGGCACCAAAGGTCAATCTAGAGCACTAGGGGTTAATCTATGGCACTAAGGGTCAATCTAGGGCACCAAGGGTCAATCTAGGGCATCAAGGGTCAATCTAGGGCATTAAGGTTCAATCTAGGCACCAAGAGTCAATCTAGGGCACCAAGGGTCAATCTAGGGCACTAAGGGTCAATCTAGGGCACCAAGAGTCGATCGAGGGCACCAAGGGTCAATCTAAGGGGCAAACTAGGGGACCAAGGGTCAATCTGGGGCACCAAGGGTCAGTCTAGGGCACCAAGGGTCAATCTAGGGCACCAAGGGTCAAACTAGGGCAACGAGGTTCAATCTAGGACACCAAGGGTCAATCTAAGGCACTAAGGGTCAAACTAGGGCACCAGCGGTCAATCGAGGACACCAAGGGTCAATTTATTGTACATTTTACAAGGTCATTTTAGGCCGGTCTAGACATAATTCAGGGTATTTTGAAATAAGTTTTTGAATCTTAAGTGTGATACAGGTTAGGTTAGGTTAGGTTAGGTTAGGTTAAGATAAGTTTGGTTAGTTCTGATTAAGTTTAGTTTGGTAAGGCTGGGTTAAGATAGGTTAGGCTGGGTTAAAGTTGATTGGGTTAGGATAGGTTTGGTTAGTTAAGGTTAGGTAGGTTTGGTTAGGCTGGGTTAAGATGAGTTAGGATAGGCTTGGTTAGTTAAGGTTAAGTTAGGTTTTGTTTGGTTAGGATAGGTTAAGGTTAGGGTTGGGTTAGATTAGGTTTGGATAGGATAGGATAGGTTAGGAATGGGTTAGATTATTTTAGATTAAGTAGGGTTGGGTTGGCTAAGGTTAGATAAGGTTAGGTTAGGTCAGGTACGGTTGGGTTGGGTTATGTTTGGTTAGGTTGAGAAGTTATTTAAACCCTTTACAGCGCTAACAGGTAAGACAATTAATACAGGTGTATTTATACTCCCCCTCTTACGCAGCTAAAAACAACTATTCACTCACTCCACCTTTAAGTAAAATATTACCCAAATAAATACTGAACAAAAAAAGCTATTCCCTGTCTCTGTATCTCTCCCTCTATTTCAATCTCTTCCCCTAAAAAAAAAATAATTAATTAATATCCCGTAGAGGTGTGGTGAAAGGAAAGTGTTAAATGACAGCGTAAAAAAATATATATATGATAAAATTAAATGTGAGCGAGGTACGATTTGAACTGGGTGCAGTGAGGCCATGTTCAAAGGGGGTGACAGAGTAAAGGGTGTGAGCTTCAATGCAGGAGGGGATGAAGCCAGGTACATAGTGAAGCCACACTCAGATACCGTACAAAATGGGTCAGGATTCGGATTCATTGGGGGGTTCGTACACTATATTCCCCGTCTTTAACTGGAGATGTGAGAGCGTATGTAACTGGTGTATGTTGTATATTTCTTTTGGCTATACGATATAATGATGAATTTTCCAAAGTTCATTTATCAGATTTCCTTTAACTGGAGATACTAACTAGCCCCGTAACTGCCTCATATTAAAGACACGACGAAGATTAATTATCCAAGTTCTGTACGTTAAATTTTCCAATTTGGAAAAGTGAGAACTTATTTAACTGAATCACTAAACCTACGACAAAATCAATTTCTATTTCAACGCAAAACTGAGTGAGCTGAGGGGAAGAACGTTTTTAAATGGTCACTTATCTACTGCGGCAGATAAATGGCGGTTAAATTTAGCGTCGATATTGAAATAAGATATTGCTGTCACTACCTGTACTGTATATACCTTCCCGTGTTCCCAGTTCAAGGTTAAAATTCAATGTATCAAAACATATTAGGATTAATAATTTATCTTTGATTTTTTATTGCATTTTTGTTATACGGGATTTTAGAATGAGTATTCGTTCACTGTGATTTTAGACTAATTTTATGGACAGTGGGAAAGAGGGAGGGGGTGGAAGAGGGAAACGGGTTTGAAATGGCGTCAAAAACATCGAGAAATCCTTCTTTCTTTTTGTACTTACCTGATGTTGAAGTGACTGTTCCGGGGAGTAACCCATGTTGACGTTGGACACGCCCATGGTCATGTTCATGGACACGTTGACGCTCATGGCGGGAAAGACGTGAGGCGGGGCGGGCGAGGAGTAAGCGGAGGCGGCGTCCTGGTAGCTGCCCGTCGCGTAGCAGCTGCCGGCGCTCATGCTACCCATCATGCTCGGCAATGTCTGAGTCAGCGTCACACACACACACACATACGCGGTCATGGTGATGCAAGGGGCAGAAAGGTGTTATGGAGAGAGTCAGGGAGAACCACAGTTTCACACGGTGTCACGGAAAGTCACGGAGGTACATGAAGATCCAGGTGAAGACACGGAGATCCACATTCACGGAGAACCAGCAGCCAGGACCACGGAGATCCGGAGAACCAGCAGCCAGGACCACGGAGATCCGTAGACAGCCACGGAGATCCAAGAAGAGCCAGGGAGGGAGAGAGAAGAACACAGTTAGTTGGTGGGGCAGATGTTAGGCTGGAGAGGTTAGTTGCATCAATGATCGGTTATATACTTGGCGTGAGTTAATATTCTAGGCTTGGAAGCTTCTTACATGGGTCTGGGGACTCGATATTTTACCTATTATTATTAATAATAGTGACTATTTTACTTGTGTTAATAATATTGGTGGTTGTTTAACAAATATTAGTAGTGGTTATTACTATGTAGTCTATTGGATAATTTGTTATGAAACTAATCGAGAAAATTATGCATTACAATATTACTTTTTGGTTTCATAACTGACTAGTGTGTCTCTACTGATCTCTCCTTAACTAACTACAAACACTTCATACCTTGTAGACAATCTTGCCATCTATAATGGGTTAGAAAAATAATTCAGAATAATTGATAATTTCGTCATCTATAATAGATTAGTAAAATACTTTTAAGTAGATTGCTACTTTCGTTTACCTGTTTTAGTATATATATTGGGAGGTTGTTGTCAACTTGTAGATTACTATAATATTAGTGCAGTGCAGCCAAACTGGTTAGTAGCATGCACAGGGAGGTAAAGTGATGACAGGTTGGCAACGCTGCTCGCCTTGATGCGCTCTTCTGTCAGGTGTTGTCCACAGTCTATTATTTACGGCAATATTTTTCCAGAGATTTTTCGCCCAACTACTCTCCATAGTATGTGTTGTTTGTGCATAACTTCTGAAGTTGTTTGCGTGAGCTACACTTTATAGTTTGTGACAATTTGGGTGCTGCCCCTCAGGTTGTGTGCGTTATAAGTGTTATTCATTTAATTACTTTTCAAGAGTTTCATTTTAACTATAACATATTGTACTATTTATACAGGTACTTTAAAAGACTTGTATCAACTACAGCTTAAAGTTTGTACTATATGCAGGAACTTGTGAAGGTCGTTACGTCAACTACAGTTACCAATTTATACTATTTTTAAATACTTGTGTAGGCTGGTAAACCACAGCTTGTTTATTATTTTTGTTACGGCATTACACAGAAAATGTCTAACAGTACAAAATAGCCTCAACCTTTACAGGTTAAAAAGTCTTACAAACCTCTATTCTGTACTTGTCTAAAGCCAAGAGATATAATCAGTACTAGTGAAGACTCCCTCAGCAACACTACGTCGTCTGGCGCGTGGTGTGGTAGGCAGCCCTTTCATACACACACACACTGTGTCATGTTGCCACAATATACTGTAAATCTAAAAACCTTCTGTTTACGGGTAGCAGCGGGAGCGAGTATACTGGCGGGGTCTAGTGACGGTGTGAGAGCAGGGCGGCGGCTACTGGTACCCGACTGTCACCACCTTACCTGCGTCTGCTGGTACGAGTACGGTGACATCGGTGGTGGCGGCGGCAGGAGCGGCCCGCCCAGGGAGTTGCTGATAGGACTAGAGTATCCTGACGACCCCATAGAGGGCAAGGGGCCCCCGAGGGTCCCTAGGCTGCTCCCGAAGCCCCCGCCCAACGTCGCCCCGAAACTCAGCGCGCTCGACACCCCCAGGGAGGAGGACAGGGAGGAGGGAGGCGGGGAAGTGGCTCCCACCGCGTCTGGCAGACCCACTGACTCGCCCAGGGCGGTAGTGTGCGACAGGTGGGCGCCAGCAGGATGGATGGAGTGCGGGGAGGCGGCATGCAGGGGCAGGACGGATTCAGAGATGGAGGTGTCATGGGGTGGAGACGGGGCCGCTAAGGGCGCCAAGGGCATGTAGGTTGGGGTGTCAGGATAGGTCGGATAGGAGGACGGGGAGTAGGGTGGGGGTGGGTGGAAAGGTGGGAGAGGCGGGTGTGTGGGCGGGAGTGTGGGCGGCGGCGGGGGCGAGGAGTCACCCACCTGGTGAGGGTGAACCACCGCGTGTTTCAGCGACAGCAAGACGTCGGCCATGTGGTCCCCCTTCTCCTTCCCCAGCATACTGCTCACCTCCCTGCTGGGGAACCAAGGTCACACCAGGTCACCAGAGGTCACCTGGGGTCTCACACACACACACACACACACACACACACAGCTATACAACCACGTCATTCAATAAAATGGTTTCCAATTTCTGTATCTGTAAAACAATGGAAATTAACACACTATTTATATTCCTTCTAATAACTTTTACCAGCAAAGAGCTCATTAGAAAAAAAACGACTGAAATATCATACATAAACTGCAAAAAACATTCAAACGTTTTGAGTTCCGTCCCATCATCTTGACAACATCTCCATTTACCCAGAATAAAGAAAAATGTGTTCACTGGAGGAATATATAAGTAAAAAAAAAAAGTCAAACGAAAGAGAATTGTTGTAAGGAAAATATTACACACGTCACCATCTCTCACAAACCTGACAATATACACAACTTTGTTAACCACACAGTCAAACAAAATCCTAAATCATTTGTTTGGTACACATAAAATCCCTAATAGTTCAGATCATGCATTAAACACAAACACTAATCATTCCTCTGGTACACATACAATCCCTAATCATTCCTCTGGTACATCTTACACAATCCCAAATCCCATTAGTCACAGAATCCTATTTAATCCTTTATCATTGTAAACAGTTATTTTGTATATAGTATTTAAAAATAAACACAATACTAAACAAAACTAAAGTACCTCTGTTGACTCTTACAATGTACAGGGTGTCCCATAAATTATCTGACACATTTTAAACCTTAATAACCTCAAAGATATTATAGAACACGATGCACATTTGGAAGTTCACTGTAACAAGATAAAACTTATGATTTGTTCGTCACTAATATCGGTGTGTTCTGTTTAAAAGATTTTTTAGATTAAAACATATTTAAAATGAGTTATAATTTATGGACAAGATGGCGCCTCAGAGTAATAGAAATTGGGATGCCTAGTTGAAATATTGATTATTCGCAATTATCGTCAACGCACTTTATGGTCGATATCTTCATTAACTTGAGAGCAAGCTTGAAAACCGTGTAACTAAAGCTTGTTCTGAAATTTCTGAAGATATCTTAGATTTTAACGTGAATAATTCATCATATTAGGTATGTGGGTTGACAATAGTGACGAAGTTAAACAAAATTAATACAACTAGGCATTTTAACTTCTATTACTATGGTTCCACCTGAATGGTCAAACCTGTAGAATGATATTAGTAACAACAGTTATAAATATCTACTGTAAAGTTAGTAAGAATATTACCATCTACAATTAGCAATTATATCAAGGTCTTTACCAATAGATACGTATTAAGTTATTAAAATCTAAGAGTTAGTATGTACTGTACACTGAAACCTATACTAATACTGTACATGAATAATTGTATATAACTACAGGGTATAGTTATGTTAAGGCTTTCATTACTTATACTGTATAGCCTAGTCTACTGGAGGTACAGTGTATATATATATATATATATATATATATATATATATATATATATATATACACACAAAAGTTCGGGAGTTGTAATTACCAATTTGGTATACGCGCTTAGAGACCTCAGATGTTGAAACGCAGTAATGCATTGTAATATCAACAGATTGGGAGTAAATTTTGCCGTGATTAGTTTGTTGTTCAAGAATACCTGTGTGATATAACTAAATAAGCACAGAATTATGACACAACTACGGATTTCTGGGTTGTTGGACAAAACCCCATCAACCTCACAGGATGTTAATTTAAAAAAAAATTGATGGGATTTTGTCAACTTCTTTACCTGGAGGCGTCTCTCTCTACTGGTGGGTCGGGTGTGCATCGTCGGTGTACAAAGCAGTGTGCCTTAGTGGGCAACGTATTAATATAATCCCAAACTGTGCTGTGTTAGCTGTGTTGGTTAAGATAGATTTGGTTCCTTCATAAAAGGTTATTTTGTACTCAGGCTACGACACACGGCACTACACCAGCAGTATTTCGAGTGTGATCCTCGTCAGTAACCAAGCGACTTTTATTATTCTGGTGGTGTTGGGGTCTTATATACAGTACAGTACAGCGGATCACTAACTGCATGGTGTCGGGGGAAATGACAGCTCAGCAATGTAAACTTTAACCACTATATGCAGTATTAATATCTAAACAACACACACACGGTACATACAGCCGACAAGCTCATCTTCTGTCGAAATCTTTTTTTTTATACACATCAGTTTTTTGGAGGAATGCTAATAGTTTGTCAAATATCTACGAAGCAGAAAATTTAAATTATAATACAGGCGAGAGGATAACCCCAGCTACCACTACCCACCACCGTCAGTAGCCACTACTACTTCGTCAGTTCCCAGTGACGGACGAAGGAAAGAACTACATTTCAACTACTGTGCTAAGGTTTAAGGCCATTGTTTACTTGGGCTCTCCACTATGGCAAATAAACAAGGGGTCCAACTTGCGGACCTTCTCCTCTAGAGTCTATGGGGTCACTACAGTTACCGTACAGCCGCCACCAACTTTTCTACAGAACCATCACTGCGGGTCTTGGTGATGGGCGTAACTTCTTACTTGTAGGGCGCGTGTGGCGACAGCGTCACGAAGTTGGGCAGCGGCTCCAGGTCGAAGAGGGGTGGGAAGGAGCTCATGGTGGAGGGCAGGGAGGTGGCGTGCGTCTGTAAGCTGGTGGCGTACAGGCTGTCGGAGGCAGCGTCCGGAGGTGTCCTGGCCGGCGTGAAGTCATCTGTGTGGGTGGAGGGCGGCAAGGGCGAGCGTGGAGGCGGGTAGGCAGGCGGCGGGTGAAG